CCAGGCAGATCAATGACATATCCATAGAAACAAGAAGATGACAGATCCAAACCAAAAAGTTACACAGTGCTCCTTTAAATGAGAATTGTCAAAAACACTGAAATGTGAGCTGACAAACTAATATAAAAATCACATTTCAGAACATGTTTGTACAGACTGTACAGATGTAAACTACAGGGCTAGCAGTTTTTTTTTTAGTTATAGTATTGTTTCCTCATCAAAAATATATCTGAAATATTGTGTTGTTTCATTCACACATGTTTAACATGCAAATTCAGCATATTTAGTTCTTCTCTCAAACAGAAAATGTGCCTTGTGATGTCATTAGAAGTTGCCGATATCATATATATACCTCGAGACATAGGCCATGATACGAGACATATCTTCATACAGTGCATTTTCGTTTTGATACGATATATTTCAAATCGATTTGATGCAGTTAAAAAAAAAAACACTATATATAATAATAATAATAATAATAATAATAATGGCAAAATCATGGCGGTGATGCTAAAAGTCTTTGTTAAACCACTTCTTGCGCAAAGTGAATTTGAAACATGCCCATTTTTATCCTCAAAACTGTGAAAATGTCAAATGTGTTGCATAAACAAGTTTCCTTTCACTAAACAAGCAACAAAACTGTAGCGCTGTAACAAAATAATTTAGTAAAATATACCAAAAAAAATACTCTTGGCAATATATCGATACAGTATCATCACATTAAATGCGATATGTCGATATTTGGATATTTTTGCTCACTCCTAGATTTCATGTCATAATAAGATTAAGTGCTCCACTGTGTTTTTAAACTCACACCTTCTCTAGACTCTTTCAGCCCTGAAATTGCCAATCTCTACTGAACTAAAGGTAAAAGATAACATGACATCACTAGGTGGAACAGAGCATTTTGAGCTTTGGAGCTGTAAAGAGACTAATAATAAAAGATTACTCAAACATGTGTGAATGAAACAAAACTCCAAGTATGTTTTTGGCGAGGTAACAACAAGTCAGTTTTGTGTAATATGGGACCTGTAACTTAAGTATAATTCCATCAGCTGCTTTGGTAACAACAAGATATTGACCATAGCTCATGCGGTTGGAGGTCACCTGTTTGACGGCGCTGTAGTGTATCATAAAAAATGAACTCTGCCATCCACTATATTGGATCTCAATCATCAACCAATTCTCTTTTGAACTTCTCATCTCCGCATAAACGTGCCGCTATTTGACGAGCACTTCTTTGTCCCAGTCACCGCACCGTCAGCCTCCTCCTGATTGGCTGAGAGGCTGTTACCGCTCTGAAATGGCCAATCACGGTGTTAAACAGAGCTGAACTCGGAGCGCAGATGGTGCTCTGGTGTTTCGCGGTGAACTGTTGAACCCTATCAGCTCACACAGGGGGTCAGGTGAGGCGTGTCAGGAGCACTCAGGAGGAAAATGGAGCTTTAATTCACCTGTGGGACATTACCAGGACAGACAGCGCATGATGGGAGAGGGGGACTCCACTCGACTAGTTATTGCTGTTTGCAGATGGTGAATGTAGCAGGCAGCACTGAAGAGTCACTTTCTATTGCCTCCCTTCAGTTTATAATTTAAAAACCCTGACATGGAGTGATAGATTAGTCTTTCTAAAGCTACTGTTCCCTTCCACAACCATCCTATTCTTGGGGACTGCATTGCACATTTTCCCACTATAAATTTATATATTTTCCATTAAACTGTTTGTGTAGGCACTTTTCAACTGGCCCAGGTACCTACAACGGTTCCACTTTGAGCTCTCTGTAACTTATACAATAACGTAAATTCACAAAAATACATTTAGTAATAATTATAGCGTTGTAAGATGGGTATAGGACGTTCAGAGAGAGAGAGGTATTTTTGACCATTTTATTTATTTCCCAAAGTGTGTGAGCTCTGATGGGTTTGTGTGTCGGGTTATAGACAGTTGTAGTGTGTTGGGTTAAAGACATTTGTAGTGTGTTGGGTTAAAGACAGTTGTAGTTTGTTGTGATGGAGCCTCATAGAGAAACGTGATGAAGCTGTTGAAGTGTGCAGCAGTGGTCGGCTCCTCACAGGATTAGACTGAGCTTCAGCCGGAGTTGAGCCTTGTGCTGTTACTGCACTGAACTTCACTCCCACACAGTTGTATGATTCCTTTAAACACCTGTCTTTGTCTATCAAGGTTACAACAAGAAGCTGCTTTGAGCTGTAAGCTCGTGCCAGAGAGAGCAGGGCATCTGACACTTCTCAATGAAAAACTGTTACATTTGAAATACTTTTTCTCCATTAGTTTGATGTATTTCTCCTTTTAAATGTTTTCTTTGGACTGCATCCACGTGCACAGCTCACCTCTGCTCTTCTCTGACTCCACAAACAGTGTGGAGCCTGTATTTGTGCCTCTTTGAAGAAGTGAAGCTCAGACTAAAATGAGTGTTAACAGAGTCAATAGTCTGTCTCTGCTGTGGTGGAGAGATGTTTACACATCTATTTGACTGGCAGGTATTCAGCCGCTGGGGTCAGTGCAAATCAAATATGAGCCACTTTTAAAAGTGCAATGTTGGATTGATTTGGGGTAGAGAAAAAAACATGTGGTGGATGTTGGATGAACCATATTCTGTGTGAAGTAGAATGATGTGAATCTTCAAGTACACGCTGAGCGCTTTATAAATGTAGTTTCCAGTGTAACTGCAGAATCATTTCAAATTAAATACAATTCCCATCAAACCTGTTTAGGTTTGTAACTAAATAAGTGAAAGATAGATAAGTTGATGCCATATTTTGCAACAATCCAGGCAAATGTATATACTGCAACAGTAACCCAACACAATCAATATGAGTGAATACAATGGCTCTTCTCAAGGCCAACGATGACACCACCACGATACCGTCCTCCATCTTGTTCACACTTTCCATGAACCTCGTCTTTACCTTCACCTATCAGTGTATTTGTTCTGTATTTGTGTGAAGCTGATTCACTCCTGTGTTGTGTATTGGCACTGGGCTGGGAGGGAGAGATGTACTTCAAGTTATATTTTCAGCTACAATAAATGAAATACAAAATTAAATTATGCATTAGCGCTAAAAATGCCCCATGTATCAGTGGATGGATTTCACATTCACTGTTAAACTTTAAAGGTCCTATATTACACAAAACTGACCCCTGCAAGCACAAAACAAAACACTCCACAAAACTCCAAGTCTGTCTGTGATGAGGAAACTACATTATAACACCACAAGTTGACACAAAACATACAGCACATTCTGAACACCTCCATCTCCTCGCTGCTCTCCGCTCTTCTTCTTGTCGCCTGCTTGTTGTGTTTGGTTTCATTGTCTTCACCTTGGGATCTGTCTCTGTTGGCCTTTGTCTGCATGTAACAGTCTGTGTGGAAAAACAAAGCTGCAAACTTACACAAAACACAGACACACAGAACACTCATTAAGATAAGCAAACCCAAAAGCGCAATTTGAACACATATCGATGTCCTCCTCACATAACTGCCTTAGTCATTTTTTTGGCCAAATTGAGTTATTTTCTGAATAATTCTCCTCTCCAGACCCTCCTCCTTCTGTAGGTGTCATTGGCTCCGTTCTCAGACAATCAAGACAATTCTTACACCATAAAACACTTCTTGACTCTGGTGGTTTGTGCGCCATAGAAACACATTGTGGACCATTGATTTAAGCTGGTCACATTTTTGGTCTCTAGAAATGTTTTTGGAATTATTTATTTCACTATTTGGGCTGTACAGTAAAACCTTTTTTTTCTTTTTTCCCTTATAACATGGTTGGATGGTTTTAATTGTATACACTTGTAGACAAATTGTATAAAACTCAAACAAATATTCAACCATTTTATAAAAAAAAGTCTTGAAAAATTACTTAGACAATTATGCCATGAGACTAAGGATATACAGTATGTAAGATAATTTCCTCTGCCGGCAAGAAAATATTGTATGTGTTAACGCTGTAATTTAGACCTCATCACTCTCAAAACTATCAAAACATAAATCACAAATCCAATTAAAATGCTTGTCACAAAAAAATTTAATGCTGCATTTTTCCCAAAATTTTATTACAATTAAATTTAAATTTTGTCAGCTGCACATTTCACAACAGTGAAATCGAGGCTGGTTTGACCAGATGTGGGTCATTCTCAATTACATCTTCTTGAATAACTTTAAATAAATTGTCCTTCTTTCTTTCTTACTGTAGTAAAAGTTTGTATTACCTTTACGTTAGTGGCAAAATCTTTATCTTCAAATGAATCAGGAAACGGTTCTTGTAGAGGTGCAAAAGCAGAGAACAGTAAAATAAAAGTAAAAAAAAAAAATTGCATCTGTGGTCCAAGCAAGAAAAATGATCTGATGAAGACTTTTTTGCCGAAACATTATTTAAAAATAAACAATTTTTTTCATTTTTAAAAACTTTGTCTTGACAGTATTAAATGATTTCAATATTTGTGCAGACTTTGTAAATTTAATAAAGGTGCACTGTGTAACTTTTGTAGTCAAGGGTCTATCAAATGCTTTTCTTCGTGGAAATGTTATTGCTTCATCTGAAATATTTCACAGTATGGCATTTTAAACCTTTCTATCTTCATGGAGACTAAACCAGACCAAGTTACAGGTCAGGTCTGTGGAGAGACGACCCCGCTCACTGTCAAAATGCCTGTTTTTTAGGCATTTTTGAGCAGTAAAACCTCCTGTAATTGAATATATGTAAGGTAGAGCTGTTTAATGTCATACTGTGGAATATTCCCAGCAGAGCAATGACATATCCAAAGCAGGTGTGGACCCCCAACCAAAAATTTACATAGTGTCTTCTTCATTGTCCTCTTCATTGTCATTGTGTCATTGTGTCACCGCTGAATGCATGCCCTTGCACAAACATAAATGTGTTTTAAATGTAGATCTTGTGATATTTTTGCATTCACGTGGACCTGTAGATTTGACTGTGTGCGTCCTGTTGTGTGCCTGTGTGTGCGTGTGTTTCCGTAGGAGCCGTGATCCAGGATTCGGACGCGATGGAGCCGGAGAAGCAGGTGGACAGCACGGTGAAGATGGCCGGAGTCATCGCTGGGATACTCATGTTCATCATTATCCTCCTGGGGCTGCTCCTCGCCTTCAAACGCAGGTATCTCAACACGCTCCACATGTGATGTTAAAGGCCAGGGAGGTTTAAAGGTGCTGTATGTTAATGCTAATTCATGATTTTCAAACATATAAATTCCTCGAAGTTCTGACTAGTAAGATCTTATTGATACTTTGCAGTGACATAACAATAACAAATCTTTAATGGAAGAATGTTTAGGAGTTATCATGGTGACACAAAGCACATATTGGCAATAACTATCAAAAACGTGTTTAGATTGTCTGAAAACTCAAGAGAAAATACAAAATGGATTTAAATAATATATTTTCAGGAGCGTGTGATCAATACGAGCGTTCAAGGTCCTGTTTAGGTGTTTGATTTTCAACAAAAAAGGTGAGAGTGACAGCTGAAAAACTGTAGGCTAATACCAAATAGGTTGTTAATATAAAGGGTTCATCCACGGTCAGGGATATCCTGGAAAAGTCATTGGAATTGAAAATGGCATTTTGCAGGCCTGGAAAAGTCATGGAACTTTGTTAATGCAATGAAAGTTTTGAAAAAGTCATGGAATTTTAGTATCTCTTTCACGCAACTACAACGTTCTGTTAAGTTCTCATTAGGCTATTGTGATTATTTCCAAACATATGCACCTTTTGTTTAAAAGAGACGACAATAGATGCACTAACAGTATTTTGAATGTTAAAAAATTACAATACCAACCATAAGGTCAGTGGAAAGGGTTAACATTTCATATTTAGCCCTAAAAGTCTGATCAGTTCTACACATGTAGGTACTGTAAAGTCATGGAAAAGTTTTGAAATGTTGTCAGTGAAAAAGAGTGGGAACCCTGCTTATTGTTCCAGCTAAATCAGTCCTTTATGGTCAGATTGTGTTAAAACAAAGCTTGAATTCAAGTCTAATAAAGTCACAGACAGAGCAGAGCCTACAGTTCATGACGTCAGCTGCAAAGTATCAATTACTGCACGGTTTCTTGACAGGTTTTAGATCCTACAGTATGACAATGCCACACTCCCCTATTTATAACATTGTATTTTCATAAGAAATGTCCCAAATGTAAATACATAAATGTTGAACCTGATAATTTCTGTTACTGACTGGACCCAAAAACTCACTGTATTACAATAAAAATCTGCATTTTAACAATATTAATGTTAGCTGCCCCGATCTGTATTAAATATTACTGACCTAACAGAATGTTGTTTCATCATGATACTGAATTTTGGTAAAATTTTGGGATCCAGTTTGACAATCGGAATCTGTTCTATTGATTATATGTATTTATTTACTCATGTTTTATCATTGATCTTGCTAGTCGAAGCTGCATCTCAAACTTGAACCATTAAAGTTACATACAGCACCTTTAAAACAAATTTTTTGAAAGATTATTTTGCAGATATACAGATAAACGTGAATGTGTCCTCATATTAAAACTAAACTTAGATTTCAGTGATTTACATAATATATTTGGAAATTATAAGAAAAAAATACTAATAGGTTAAAGGCGTTCCCTAATACAATATTTGAAAATCACAAAATACACCAATATAAAAGATGTCCACGGAAATACTGGCCATACTGCATATCTTATCTTCTGCCACCATCACCTGCTTCTTCTCTTCTCTTTCATTGCATTTATTCTCTCATCCCTCTATCTCTGTAGTTCTGCTTACGCTAAGTTTTTGTTGCTGCAATTCACATCGATTTTGTTTATTTGATAATTTATGCCACCTCTTCTCACCACCTGGATGTTACTTGGATAGACACAATATTTTTTTGTTTGTTTAAAGCTGCACCATGCAACTTTTCCTGCTTGTACTTTATTTTATATTACCATGTGGTCTTATATCTGTGTAATCTCTCAGTTGTCAGGTAGGTTCGATAGTGGTCCTTGGGCGTGTACTAGTCTATGTGCTCTTATACTTGTTCTGATACAGCTCAATATCAGTATAAAGTTATTCAGGAAAGGTTTATTTCTTTCCTATGAATGGGACTTCGAGTATATAGTTTCGATACTACTGTATTTTTTAGACGATAAGGCGCACTTAAAACCCTTTAATTTTCTCAAAATTTGACAGTGCGTTTTATAATCCAGTGCACCTTTTGTATTTATTCTGGTTGTGCTTACTGGCCTCGAACCGATTTTATGTGGGGCACGGCGCTCAAAAATCTGTCAAAATGTTTTAGTACAACTTTGGTAAGTTACGACGCCGCAACGCTTGATGGATTGTCTGTGCATTATGGCTACTGTAGTCAGGAGCCTCGTGGAGTAAATGGCGAAGAATAGTTCTGTGTTGGTATTTATGACATCAGTGAAAAGCTACAGAGAATATATGTCCATTCATACAGTCTCTGCGTATGACCTGCAGATTTAACATCTCTGAAAAGTTGTGATCGAAGCACAGAACAGACTCAACATCAGCAGAACATCCCTCTGTCACAGAAAGAACACTCATATTCCACTGAGTTGTGTCCTTTAGTCTGACAGAAGCTGACACAAGGAGCGAGCTGGGTTTTTTCAGCGCTTATAGTTTATGCAAATGCTCCATGTGGTTTTAAGTTTTGTTTCTGTAAAATGTAAACAAACAAGTGCAAAGCTGCATTAAACACATTATTACTCAAGGCATATTTGAGCCCTCCTTGTAGGAAAAAATAAATAAATAAATAAAATAAATTTAAAAAAGAAAAGAAAAACACATTCACCAAGACAGGGATGCAACACCGGGTGAATTACACCACGATCTGCAAATGGATCGTGGACGCCTGGGCTAAGGTCTCAATTGTCGTCCGTTTGTTTCGCTTAATGCACCTTTATAATCCTTATGCCTTATGTATGAAAATAGACAAGAGAATTCAACATTACTGACATTGCGCCTTGTAATCCGGTGCATCTTTTCTTCCAAAAAATACGGTTGTTTTAGTATCAATTAGTATCTGATTTTCGATACTTTTGACAACCCTAGTTCAAGTACAGATGTTGTAATTGCTCAAAAATACCATTTAAACAAAGCTCACCTCTCCACAGATCTAACCTGTGATTTGGATCTGTGGAGAAATTTTAAAAAAGAAAGAAAAAAATGAATGGGATACTAGGGATGGGCATGATTAATCGATTAATCGATAATTGATGATTAAGAATTTCATCGATTACGTTAATTTTAATCGACAAACCGAATGTAGGTTGCTGTGCGTAGCGTGACCAAACAGGGGTCCGTACATGTGTCTCTCTGCACTCAGAAGGAGCGAGACACAAACATTCGGTCAGTCTGCAACGTACCGAAGCACAAATGCGTATTTAACGATAACTTGTACAAGAAATTCCACACTTTCCGTTGCGTTCGGGACAAGTGTGAGTCCATGTGCACAGTGTACAAAGCAGCACATATGTTTCTGTGTCCAGTGGGAAAAAGCTTTGCCAGGTGAGAGTCGCGCAATGTTGATGACGAGTCCCCACCTCCCGCCCCTGTACGGTGTCCTGGTTTTAACAAACGGATATGGTCACACTAACCTGTATTCCACTGAGTCATGTCTTTTAATCCAACAGAAATTGACCGCATCAGCGACACAAGAGCTGTAGTTTTATCTTCGCTTAGTTTATGCAAATTAGCGATACGGTTTTAAGTTTAGTTTCTGTGAGAGTTGCGCAAAACTGAATTAAACACATTATAATGTCAAACAGGCTGATGTGGCTCTAGAGTCGTTACGGTTTATATGTCGTAAAGTTGAATTTATTTATGCAGAATAGGAGTGCAGATAGTAATAATAATGATGATCATTTTAATATAAAAACGTTAATGGTTAATGGTTAATCGATAATCGATCGTTAATTCTTCCGACGATCGATTAAGAAAATTTCATCGAATGCCCATCCCTATGTGATACTGTGGAAAATTCCTGGCAAAACAGTAACATCTCCATGGAGAGTAGATGACAAAACCTCCTTCCATAGCGCACCTCTGTAAATTGTTTGCTTACATAATTATTATCTAGTCACTAATTTCAAAGTAGGTGAACGTAGAATTTTGACAGGTCATTCTAATCATGCTAATGCAGAGAGGTTAAAACGAGCTCGTGCATAATAGCTCAAGAACTTGGAAAATGAGAAGCGCGGAATAAGAAGGGAGCGTAGAAAGAAACGAATGTGAGCAAAATCCAAAGCAGTGGTTAACCTTAGGGTCAAGTGGATTATGCTAATGAAATGCCAACCCGACTTAACAGGGCATAATATATATAGAGAGGCCAAGGGCATCAGGAGAACTATTGAGAGAAATGAAAGAGGGGAAATGTAAGAATTCAGTTCAAGTACCTACCTCAGGCTAACAGTGTCAAAGGTCAGAGTTTCAAGTTACTCACAAGTCAAATAGGCGAAAATAGAAAAGGGGAGTGGAGCATTATGTACAGTCACACAATAAGTGATAAAGCAAAAAGATTAGTTTTAGACTTGATATTAATTACGATTGTGTAATGTTTTGCCATTGCGTTATCCGAAATTTGTCTTTTATTACAGCTACTACGTGTTTAAAATCCATCGCAAGGCCCAGAAGTTTATGTTAAAGAAAGCGTATTATGCAAAATCGACTTTTTTTGGAGCTTTCTACCTTGTTATAACGTTGATCCCTCCTCGAATCCTAACCCTACGGCGAGCAGTACGACCCTATCCAAGACTCTGCCCACAGGACTACGTCTTCCATGCTCCCACAGGGCATCTTTCTATAAATATACAAAAGCAGGATACAAAATAATACACCAGAGTCCTGCACCGGACGGGTTTTAATGTTCTGGAATTTTACGGGCGTGTTAGGACTAAACCAGGACTAAACCAGGACTAAACCAGGACTAAACCAGGTCTAAACCAGGACTAAACCAGGTCTAAACCAGGATTCAACCAGGACTCAACCAGTTCTTAACCAGGTCTTAACCAGGACTAAATCAGAACTAAATCAAGACTAAACCAGGTCTAAACCAGGTCTAAACCAGGTCTAAACCAGGTCTAAACCAGGACTACACCAGGACTACACCAGGACTGAACCAGGACTGAACCAGGACTAA